GATTTAAAATTTTGCAGGTAGCTTTTTAATAGCAATAGGAATCTATAATAACAAATTCAACATGCTAGCATTGTTTAAGTATATAGCCTATACATCCTTAAAGCTGTGACGATGTCTCTGAGCTCGGCGTCACAGTTTCATTGAGAAACAGGATGGTAATTGAGCAGAACCATAATTTATGCATTCATTTATCGAGACTCAATTATTTGTTAAAAACACCGAATTATTTCGTCTTAATTGTCATCTGCAATAATCGTCTAGCTACGAAACAATTGTTTTCTCGATGAAAACGTCCTTGCGGTCACTCGTGGGTGTTCCGACTGCATTGCTAAACTGTATCTTACGTACTTGCAGTCGTAGCCAGTCTTATCATAGAAGGCATCTGGTACGAGGATGCGTAGGCCACGTTTGTCGTACAATTTGCAAAATACGAGCTGAATATCTCTTATCGCTCGTCTATTGCGTAGGTGCGAATCCCGGCGCCCCGGCATCGTTTTACAAGCGTGAAGTTGGTGAAATAATGAATTTCGATAAACAGCAATTTGAATATTGTATAAAATTTGAAATTTATTTGACAAGTTTGGGCAAGATTTTCAAAGAACGCGCATTGTTCGTTTGCTAGAGGTTTGGACATATATGTATAGACGGTTCGCGTGTGCGAATGGTCGAAGTTGTAAAAGCCACGTAGGTACATACGCGTGACAAGGCGTGGTACATACGCGGGACAAGGTTTTATCGGGCGACCCTTTCCATGATTTACCATTAAGATATAGCCACTTTGTCACCCACATATTTCTTATCTTTTCCACTCTAGCGCTGCGTCACGAGAATTTTTGCATTTCACGTCTGCTAATCAAACTATTCTATTTAACCCCTTGCCGTACTTTAACAAATCTGACTCGTGATCATAATTCTATACCAAACGTGGTTATAACGTGGATATCACGTGGTTATAATCTCACGCCCAATGAGAATGTGCAAGGTTTCCTATAAGCATAAAGAGAAACGACCTGGGAATCCACAAGGCCTCAATTTTTCCGAGCTAAATGTTACAGCAAAGAGTTAAATATCGATAGGCAATTGTTTAGAATGTAGGATGAAATCTATTTCAGATACTTTGGACTGCGCTCTCCGTTGCTTTGGGTGTCGAGTTGAGGGGAGACTTGGTGCGCGGCGTACCTTGCATTAAAAAGTATCACCAACTGTTCTGCCCTACTGCCGGGAACACGTACCCGATGTAATTACAATGATGATACGTTAAATTGAATAATTATTAAATAGCTGCCTTTGCATCATGCCAATTTTCTTGTTTCTCTCGAAGAGAACGGATAGAACGTTTCATCGATGAGAACAAAGCGTTGATGAAGAGAATGTATGGTGATTTTGAGATGAATCCAAAGAGGGAGCCTAGCCACCGGACTCGTAGGAGAAGAAAAAGTCGAGAGGCTACGAAACACGACCTTCCCGACGGTGGACCCAGTCTGCTCGATGAGGTCGACCCAGGAATTGAGCCTGACGGTGATTCGTTCTTTGCAAACGTGAGAAGAACCAGGAATCCGAGACAATCACCTGGGAAGAATAGAAATGAGAGTGGAAGGTACGAGGAATACAACGTTTCTCATATTTTTGAAAATTCATAAAATTTTTATAGTATTTCGATATAGAATCTCTGTCAATTAATTTCTGATCGACATAAAGTGATTGAACGTTTTTTAGAGTCGATGCTTGCGAGTCTAAAGTGGAAATTGTGACACCCTACTGGGCCAGCAACAGTGCTGGGAAGATCCGTGCCATCGTGAACACGCAACACTTTGAACAAGCGATACATCAAGAAGTTTGCTCGTAAGTATCAGCTTCCACGTAAGTAACTTTATACAAATTTGTTCATTTTTAATAAAAATTGATTTTATAGAAAAACCCAGACGAACCGTTGCACGGGGGACTGCGGTTGCGAGCAGAAGTATAAGTGGCACAGACTGCTCGCGTACGATCCCGATAACGATTGCAGAGGTATCTTCATGGACTGGTTCCTCTTCCCCTCTTGCTGCGTCTGTAGATGCGACCCCATTCCTAACAAATTTTCCCCGCCCAACAATCGAAATTGAAATCGCTCCGTCGATACTTGAACTCAGCATTCCAAAACAAATTGCAATGTAAATTGGTTTTCGAGAACGCGAGGAAATTCTTCAAGCGTCGTTGAACGAAGAAATTTTGTATAGCGTTGCAGTCTTTATAGGACTGCATTTCTTATTCGTTTAATTAGTCATTGATAAGGTATAGTATATGTATAGATTCATACTTCGAAATCCTACTTATTTATCACTTATTAAACTTATCTGTTCTGTTCCTCCGTACTTACTCATCCACGTTCTTCCCACTTCTGTGTTTAATTTAAGTATGAGTAGTTAAGCAAACGTACGCCTTTATTTGCTGTAATTCCAATCCCAACAAAGCCGATAACTTATTAAGCTATTATCGATTACATAACTTAAGTAATTAATTAATTCCCCTTTCGTATATCACTATTTGTTCTTCCCTATACATGATAAGTTTACAGAGTAAATTTCGATGTACGTAAAAACTTGATCCCACAGGTAATAGTGTATAAATTAAAATATTTATTAAGTTGCAGGTAAAATCGTAGAGAATAAAATCTGTATTCCTATGTCTAGGTAGAATAAAATGTAAATATGCAAAATAATTATTCGATGCAGGTAAAGTGATCGAAAAATAAATGAGTCACGATAAGGTTTGAAATATAATAAATTTAATGATATTCGTTTATTACATATCGATTGTACTTCATCCTAAAAGTAAGAAAGAAAAGCGAATTTTTGTTAACTATAAGCATAAACTAAGTCTACGAATTTAATAAGAAAATAAGAGAAACGCTAATTATATCAAATATTCGCTAGACGCGAAAGCGAAAGCAAAATTTTGATTTATCGTATACATTGGACGGATTCCTGATAAGCTACTTTCTTCAATTTTTGTTCCTTAAAGTAGTTTCACGACTCAAGGGATTAATATTACTAATTCAAGATTGAATGCGTTAAGAAATATCTACACGTAACAAATTCGATTAAAAAATTTCTATAACAGCAACGCAAGTGCACAGCTTTCGTGGTTACAAGGTACGTATTAAATTGGATCGACGTGAGTTAAATTTTAGTTCTACAACCACGTCATACGTGTCAGGCTTATATACAGACATGGTACAAAAATATTTCAATTAGTTTCCTTACGAAAATAATTCTAGACCGTGTTAAATAGTCGATTAGATTAAGTAAAGCTTCTCAGCACGGTGACGCAACTACTCTAACGCGTAAACCGCTCTATTTAGTACGCGACTAACGAGGTATGCCTAACTATAAAACGTTAACGAACTTGTCTCGGTCGATTTTAACATGACACCATTCGTTACTCGCTGCTATGATCAAATCTGAAATTGTCTTGACAATTTTATTACCCGTTTACTGCTCGAATTGCTACAGATAAGAAGGACTTCGACAAGCTATAAGAAAAACGGCAGACATAAGAAAATGATCTGCGGACTTTTATGCGAAATAAAACGTTTTACGATATCAATTTAAATAACAATTTCTCTCGCGTACACATTCGCTTTACGCGTTCTTTATACTTTCGGTAAATACGTAAAATCCGCAGTCTAGTAAACACGTTTCAACTAATGCAGAGTCTGAAACAAACAATTATTCTTGTAGAGAAATCGATGTGAAATCATAAAAAATTGTTCCCAGATGATTATTGCTAAAGGAAGAAGAGAATACTCGATGCACTCCCCGCCTCGTTAAAGGAAATTGTATTTCGATTGCAGGGAACGATGGCCGACGACGGCCAGCGCAGCGATGAAAAGCGGTTGCATAACCGATGCACTCGTCGCGGAATTGCAAAAGTCGGTGCTGCAAATATGACAGGATTCGACCATGCCTCGAGCTGAAATAGTTGCCGTGTTGCCGCAGGGACCGTCCGTGATGTCCGCCTCGTCCACGTACGGGGTTGAGCACTGACGGATCACCACTCGTTCACCGTCCTCTGAAATCAAACGCAACAGTCAATAGCAATGTCATACATTAAAATTGGATGATCGTGGAACGATCTCCGGTCTTGACAGGGGCGAATTATTATCAGTGCTTTCAAAGATTCAGATCAAACTTGGTGAATGATATTCATAACTCTCACAATCGGTTCACGTGCACCGAGTACGCAACATATATAGATTGTTTCCGTTGTTTGTCAGAGCGGAGTATTGTTCGAATGATCTAGTGCAACAGGTTGTGTAACGACCGCGATTCAAAATACGCCGAGAATCTGCGGAAGTAATTATAGTACGAACAACGTTGCGCATTCGAACAAATCCCGCAATCCTCACAAATAACTCGAAGCGCTCTTAGGATCATCTAATAACAAAAGGGTTGAAATACCTGAATCGAAGAATTAATAGAATGTACTACGCCCGATTGAAATGAAATCATTTCGCGTTTGAAAATGAGAATGATTCCGACTGGACCAGTGCCGATGGCCTCAGGATTGCCATTAGCGTTATGGATGTCATTAATCCTATAATACCAGTCGCGTTAATCCGATTAACTCTAATATTCATGAATCCACGTCGCGACGACTGAGTTTTCTTTGACACGGGTGTGGTTTCGACCTTGGTAACATGCAATTATTCGCAATTACGGTGTAGGTGTACGTGCCATGACTCACGGGTGCAACTTGGAAGACGTTGATCATAGGTTTATGCTATTTTCCAGGATACACGCGAGCGAACTAATGCAAGTTTTTACGCGCAGAACGTCACTCCCAATTAAGTAATATTATCTTTCTGAGTAACCAGGAAGCCTTCGCACATCACATATTGCAGTAAGACTGTTTCGCTGTGATGCAATTTTATCAAAATACAGTGGGCAGTCCAAAATCGGAGTTTGAAACTTTATTACTCGATGTTTAAAAGTAGATATGAGAGAGGAAAATTATACATTCTGTCTTCCATAAATTGAGAACAAGGGGGTTGTTTATGTCACTCACCCTTCTTCACGATTTTCCGGCAGATGTGCTTCGAGGTGTCGTACGAGCTGGCTTCGCATTGTGGCGTATGGAAATTGAAGTGATGATCGGTAACGTTCAATGGGTCACCGCACATCGCGTTCACGTTCGAAGCGCAATTCCAACATCGTAATGCCAGACCTGTATCGTAACAAATCATGAAAACCTCAACATCACGAGCAATTACAAGAACATTAAACAAAACTGTGCGCCGGACGGTTTCATAAAATAGTTCCCACCATCGAGTCTACATGTATACGTGTTAAAACTGCTAGACTTGTTGATTTACAGAAATGTTTTAATCGCAACAGAATTTCCTTGCGCTATTCCGTAACAGTTGAGTAATGAAATGAGTAATTAAACGCGTGGAAACTATATTAAATCAGCACCTGAGGCGTTTCAAAATGGTTTATGATCAAAATGTTCTCAAGTTCGTACTTGGCGATAGAGTGACTCATACCTATTGCGCAGATTTTAATTCCCTGAGACGGAGTAGGTAATAAAAATTATATTTCCGCCGATATCGATCCGTCGTTACTCATTATGTTAGAGATAGAAGTGCAATTTGAAAATAATACCTAATTAAAATGATATTCATAATATTTCGCGCGTCTTCTTAATTTCACGGTTATACTACTTAAACCGCTTTATTTGCCGAATTGTATCCCGAGAAATTTTATATATACTGCAAGAAGATCAATCAGTTTTTTTGCTCGTGTTATCTGATCAAAAATCCATAAACACGGAGTAGGTATTTAACTTGCATCAAACCATTATCTATGATTAGGCACATACGATACATTATTCATTGGAACACTGTAAGCGGAGGAAAATAACTGATTTTTACTGATTTCATTCTATTTTTTGTTATATGTACTATATTGTACGTTTCATGAATAATAAACTAGTTTTCTCTATTATTTCCCGTTATTAAAAATCCGCCTAACTATGTACACGTAAGTGACTTACCTGACTGCGCGAGTAGAATCAAACCGAAGATGACCAAGGTCAAAGTTAATCTGGAGAACATGTTGCTACCAAAATGTCTACCGATTTAATGTGATTGGTTGCGCGCGAAGTACGATATCGCTGGTTTATGATCGTTGATAAGTGAAATGCGGTAGCATGTGGTTCGAGAAATAGTGAGAGCGAAACTGGCAGCTTCACCGAACGTGTTCACTGTTCACTGCGTTACTGAAGAGAAGATGCTACACCCCCTTTTTGGAGGCATACACGCGGTCTCCTACTCCCATCCCTTCTTCGGAGGTCTCTCCTCGCTTCACGGGGCACATGGATCTAGCCTGGGCCCGTCCAATAACGCGGCGCGTATGCACATACACGTAATCACCCTGTAACCCCTCCGTGGACAACGCGAGGAAGTAGGAGTCAAGAGCGAACAACAGAAGAAGGAGCCTTTTAACCGAGAACGCAACAAGCGAAACAGTAATTACGGAGCGAGCGAGAGAAAGGAGCATTACTCAGGGCCCTCATTGCCCTCATTAGGACAATTACTAGACCCGTCCGTCGCCGTTGCGGTCTTCTTTGCTAGATTCACGCCAGAAATTTGAAATTTACAAATTTACATTGGCAGTAATCGAATTAAATGATGCCAGATTTTTTTCAATTACACGTTTCAATATCGCTCATTTTACACGAATCTCTTCTTAACCGTGACGTTTACAGCTTTTCGCTCGACTAATTTTACCTTGTAATTACAGAGATTTGTGTTAGTAATAAAGAACAATAATCGTTCTTCATTTTTTCACCTCACGTTTTTAGTGCTGAACGTGAAAAGGATACCAGAGCACGTACTTGACCTGCATAACTGATTCGTTCTAGCCATAATTGTAGACTCTAACGTCACCGCAGAGTGAAACCGGATACAATAAAAAATTTGGCAAATCCCAACGCAGCATACATACGAGGCTACTTGCAACTCGAATTGGTTACAGATGTGCAAGGGTATTGCATAGTAAGCTTGCCGACTCGTTAAGAAAGGTTCGCTGGGGGTCAGGAAACCGTTTAACCCCGCGAGACATTACCGAATTGACTCGAGCATTTGACCCCTTCTTCCCTTCACCCAGATGCGTCTACACACACGTACGCGTGTATCGTAGCCCGATTTCGTGGGTATTAGTTGGAGCAGTTACCACCATCGATGCAAAAGGTTATTACACACAGTGGACCGTGACTCCCTGTCCATTCATAAAGCCATTTAATTTCTGGCTCGAAAGTCAACAGGCTTTTCCGGCCTGCTCAACGTCACCGTCTTCCCTTTCGTGATACGTATTAAAACTGGAAATCACGAAACCAGATTCTTTTACCTAATTAAATAATCCGCGAACGAGGGCAAGAAACAACAGAAATAGCGTACTACGATATTTTATTTTAACGATTAACAATTAATTAAAGCGAGCAACGTTACGACACGCTACGGCGATTAAGATCGTGAGGAACACGTTGAAGTTTTCCAGAATGAATAAATCAGCGGTACTTTGCCCGTTGCAGGCGTAGCTTTTGCAGAAGAGGCACACGACGTTGGATCCTGGAAAATATTCCTCCTGTTGGCAGTATCCACCGATTTCGCGTGACGGCACGCAACCTCGTACCGTCACCAGCACGCCTCCATCTGCATCATTAAGGAAATAGTTGTTTCATAGCCTCACCGGTTTCAAGGTAACGTCACGAAATACAAAAACTTCGTTCCGAGTTTAGTAATTCAATTAATTAATGCAACTATTCTTCCAACGCAAGAGAGGCTGAGGATACCTGCCGTTTTATTCTCAACGTCTTACGACACACGTATAGGAAGTCTCGCACAAATATAAAAATAGATTTTCACGTGCCTCCGTAATTACTTAGGATTTAGACGTACGTACAGGATCAACGCTAATATAAACACATGTACATACGGGCATGTGTAGATATATGCATACGGTTCGTATACGTAATAAAGATGAGCGCATGCAACACTGATCTATCTCTGGATTCTGCTATACATTACACGCACAATCGACGATGGCTTTTAGACAATGTTGAGACTCGTTTCGAGGGCAGTGTGTTAAGTCGAAATAAGGCGATGCGAAGTAAGGATCGTTGCACTCCCTTGTATGGCCTCTCCTTACGTCGGTATTGCACTCGTAACACCATAACTCTCCTCTCGCACGATCTTCGAACAAACAATGCAATTATTACCTTAAATGGATCTTCGACTGATTTATTAGCTGATCTCGTACGAAACAATAATCATAAAAATGTAATACGCTTATTTTGTCATTGTGCTTGTCACTTCGCTATTACGATGTCTCATCGGTACCAATTTAATCGATCTTTCGTTTTTATACAGCGCATGAAAACCTAGAGCTACTTACCGAGATACAGGAGAAAGATTACTGCCGCCAAACTGACTTGGCCAACCATGTTGGCATCACTTTGGGATCTATGTGTGTATCATCCAAATCTCCTCATTACCTGTTATCTTATCTATGTTAATAAAAGGACAATAAAACGGAGTACCTCCGAAGACATTAAATGGAATGTGACCTGGGATACAAGCACGTTCATATCAGACAGTTTCCTGTAATTAGTTCCGTTTTACAAATTGCGTTCACAACGACAACAGGCTTATACATTTTCTTGTATGTTTCATGGTTTGTGCAGAAATATCGTGATGAACCAGTTAAGGGTAAGCCAGTAGCGTTTCTTTATTTATATAAACATTAGCCAAATTCGATTTCTCGTAAGCCCACTTCGTTTGTACAATACACGTACATTCACTTATTCTATACGTCATACACTTATTGCTCGTTGCTGTGTTTAGTGATCCATGACGCAGTACAATAAATGCAAATGTTTTCGTAAAAGTGAACACGCAGTACAGGCAATGGTTGTTGCGCAATCACCGTGACGTCGTTAAATGCATGATGTCGTGGCAAATTTGAAGCTGTATAGATAGAAAATCATATATAAATGTAAAAAATATATACAAAAAAATGTTTATTTCGCTAAGAAATTTATTGATACATAAACTTTCTCGCCAAATATGAAACGTCGAGTATGAACAATCCCGTATACGTATGCCGTGGATATTAATGTGTGCGTTTTCAATTTTTAGAACGCGCTATGAACTCGGTGAACTCATAATTTTTGCAATACATCGCCGAATGCGTGGCACGGTTACGCGGTGTTGTACAGATTGGCAATGGCCACGGCCGCAAGAATCGACGACAGAGTGAAGAGGATCCTTGGCGAAAACGCGTCCGAGCTGTTGCAGGCGTCGCTCTCGCAAAGATCGCAATGTTCCACGCTCATTATAGGGTCGCCGATGAGCTTTCCTTTCCCCTCTATCGCTTTGCACGGGTCGATCGTGTCCGTCTTGGCCATCTGGCAATTCCTCACTACGACCTCCCGCTTGTTCACTGCCAAATAGAATTAAACACGTCCGTCAAGCTGTCTTAATTAGTAGATTCTCACGATTTACCTTTGAGGATCATTTTAGCGCACGCCATTGGCACGGCGACCGGGGAATACTTCGAGTCGTCCACTTCGAAAATCGATTCTATGGGACGTAAAATGTTGTGTTGCTTAACGATACGTTGTTGCCAGTCCCTCATGCGCGTTACAGTACATTCTTCAGGTTCAATGTTATATGCCTTTGGATCCGTGCCGCATCCGGGAGTTGTTTCCGAAGTGCACATGTAACATCTTAAAGTCTCGTCTGCAAAATAAAATTACTTCTTTCATAAATAAGAAAAATTGTGAGTGTATTTTCCTTCCTTTGTAACGACAGAAGACAGCACGTGGGTGCTAATGTAAAATAATAAATATTGTAGTAACAAATAATGTCACGTTCTTCTTGGAGAACGATATATGGGACCCATTTTTTTGTATTACAGTCCAACGATTCTCTGTTGCCCTCTGGTGTAAATATAATCTATTCCCTCCGGCGCCGGATAGTCGCCGCGCCGGAATCTTCGCGTACACGCTTATACATATACTACAATTCTACCCAATGAACGAAAAAGCTCGTATACGCTGGAAATATTTGTAATTAAGCTTTACAGTGTCCAGTTTGTCCAGACCCACGCATTTACTCGCTCTGTGTAGACACATAGTTATTATTTGGGTCGCGGTATCGCGGCGCCAAGAGCCGTCGCGGCGGCACTCACCCCCTATCCTCGACCCCAAAGCTGTAACTCGCAGTTCGACAAACCACAGTTAACCTACTACCCTTATGGCTTTTCGAATGATTCGGCATCGATTTCTCCCCGAAAGTACACGACGCTACGTCTCTCAGATTTTATCAAATGAATTTAGCAAACGCAGAAATACTATTAAGTCGGATTATGATCAATCATCAATTATAATTATAGAACTTCTTATTTTTATATAAGATTGTATAGAATATAATTCTTTGGCCCAACTTTGAAGTTGAATAGTATTCTTAAATAATACTTATGTCCCTAGCTTTGTTATCAATTCGTAAAATTAAGTAAATAATAAGATATCTACTGTTTAAAAATAATACGAATAAAATGTATCATGCTTCGCTATTTTTACAAAAATATAAAAGATGGAATGCATAAAACTAGTAAATTACTCTGTTATCGCTCTATCGGAAGGAACACATGCCAAGTGATCAATCATTTCCTGATCACCGATGATCAATAACGATAATAAAAGAAAAACGGACCAACGCTTTACCGAGCAAACGTTCCATTCTCACGAAAGTCAATTTTAAAATACCATGCATTTTCACATTCTTATGCAAAATATAATCACCTGAACGAACGACCAAGATAAGCGCGAGACAAATGATCAGCACTGCGTTTCTTCGATACATCCCGAGTGTTGTTAGGCAAGTGTACAAAGAGGAGTTAAAAGCCTTTTCCTCTGCCGGACGAAGAAGTTTACTCTCGGGTGGCGGAACGCGAACTGACGGAGGGTGAACTACTGGCACGGGGAAGGGTTGTCGTCGAGTCGACAGCCTGATCGCGAGTATGAGATTGCCAGGTTCGCCACTCGCCAAGCCGCGCCACTCCGCACCTCTTTTCCTCCCCCTCTTCCTCTTTTTATCTCACCCTCCCTCTGTCTGCCGCCTCTACGCCGAGTAAATCGTATAATCGTGTAAATTTACCATACTTTTCTCGTTTGAATCTTTTAGAGCGATCGCTATCAATTTCATCTTTATTCAACAAGGACAATCCTCACTTTACAAAGTCATATTACGATTCACAAGAATTTTTATAATAAGAAAAAGCATCTCGGAATTAAGAAGATAGTCGGAAAGAAACGGAGTTAAAGAAATACTTCACGGATTCTGTGATGCACCTGTTGCAACGCTATTAAAAAATGTTACGTGCCGTGATTAATAGCCGTTCTATCGGTTAACAGATGTTTAATCGATCGTGTCACTCGAACCATTGATCGAGCTTTTTGCGTATAATTCACGTAGTAAATGGATTCGGTATAAGTTTGGCAAGAATTTCAAGTACGATTCCTTTATGTTTGCGCACTGGTGGATCGTGCGCATAAATCGTGGTAGTAGCGTCGATTGACGCGGGCCAGGAAAGTGTAAACGCTGCCTCGAAGAACGTTAATCGCCTCTTATCTTAATTAAGCTAGCCGTGACAAAGACACTCGCGTTATTTTTGAAATACACGTAATCACGCATACATAGGTGTACCATCGGAAAATTATACCCTCAAACGTGTTCCGATATTTAGAGTTGTTAGAACTTATTAGACCGAGCTGCGCAGTTAGAGTTAGGAAAAATATTGGTATCCCAGAAAATACCAACGTTCAACCTTCGCGATTCATTGCCAGTTATTCGAACGATTTCCTACTACGTGCTCCGTACTAAAACTGTTCTACTTTCAGTTCTACTCTCAGTTCGTCCGTGATCGTAAAATTTATCACAGTCAACTTTTGTAAATACACCCCGTGTCGTATAAAACTTTTGGAATTTCAGGCGAAGCACGGGAACCATGATTATACTTTACATCACGTAACAGTAATAACAAATTCGTGATCCTACAGGATCGTGTAGTAAGAAAACTGAATACCTTAACTTGGGTACTATTGCTTCTTTTCAGGACTTGATCAAAACAAAAATTCATCGCAGCACATGATTTGTGCTTCCTGTGACCTGTTTCCCTTACAATTTGTCCGTTTTAAACCCATTTCCCGTTTATTCTAAATGAATGGGACAATCATGGCTCGTAGGATTGCAGTTGGGTCAGCGATGGAGCATCATTAATCATCGATCGTTTTCTTGGTCTCGGTATCAATGTGGGTATGAGATACATGGTAAAGAAAGCAGAATAAAAAGGAAAACGAGTGACGCGAGTTCGGCGCCGGGACAAGGCGCGCGGCGTCTATCCAGGACACCAACGACGCCGTCTAGCTCATCGTCAGTTTTGGATTTAGCAATTACTATGAGATCTAGCACACATTCTTCGCCCTCTGTTTTCTTAATCAACTTGCCTAAATACACAAATTGCAATCGTCACAATACCATAAGACGCTTTATTGAATTTTAAATATACGAATGTGCAAGTGCGAGGGAAACTAGATTATAGGGACATGCAGATCTATCATCGAGGCGCATTAGCAACACGACGAGCTAATAAATTTAAACCGAAAGTGGTAATAGCATTATGATATCCGTTAGCCTAGTAACGAGTTATCCTCGCAGGGATGTTCTGTAATGCAGATAATGCCTTGGCATGCGTTCAACGCGTGTTGAACACCGTTCTCGCGGACAATCGACAAATCAAACGATCGCGCCTTTAAGAGGCTCACCGTCGCGTTCAGATATAATGGATCCATCAATTATTTCTTAATTAAGCTTTAACATCGATTCCAAGTGTATAAATTCGTGTATTATAATATAACGATGCGAAAGTTCCAGTTTTTTTTTACTCGTTCAAGTATCGCTCTTCTCGTTAATTCTGGAGTTCGTTTAGAAAGAAAGCACGACTATGTATACATAATATAACGCACATAGCCGGTAATCCGCAAGCAGAAATTGTTGGTGCGCAATAATGAAAGTACGTACATATAGAGCTTGCGAAGAGTACACCGGCTCGAGCGTCAGGACGTTCGGCGCCACATAGCCGCGACCCAAATAGAAATAATATTGTCGGAGGGAACTCGGAGACGCTGTTGCGGATGATGGAGGACGAGGAAGAATGACCGTGCATCACCCACATTTGCTTCTTCCCAGTCAGCTTTATTTCTCCGTCATAAGACCCTGTATGGTCACCTTGAATCTAACGACTCACTCCTAACATTTTCATCGACGCTCCCCCTTTTTTACTATCAACTTTTACTGTACAAAATTTCTTCATTGTCCTTCTCATTTGTGTCAGCTTGTTTTGCCAAAATTTGCTTCTGCTTTTTCTTAAAATTTAGATAGTGCGAAGAATTCGACAACGTGACATAAGAAAAGTGTTTCCAAAAACAATTTTCCAAAGTCGCTTCTTATCTGAATCAGCTTGATTGTGCAACGAATGCACAAGCGTTCGCACTTTGGTAAAGGGATGAAACAGGCGCGTATTGACGACTGTTACGGGCGTTGTTTGCGTGGGATTCACCGCGAGAAATATCCTATTTTTCAAAGGAACGTTATACCATCGGAGACATTAAACGAAAAATAAAGAAAGTTCTTTCATGCTGATAAATCAGCTGACGACACCCACGACAGGTCGTCCCTTTCGGGACAGTTTCGCTTGTAAAGATGCAATAATAAGGATGACGTGGGTGGCCGCGGTCGGCCTGTCGTTTGTCGCTCGTTCTTAATAATTCGATGCCAGCCCGGTGAGAATAACATTATTGGCTAATTCGTTGACGAGAGTCATCGAGGAAGGGGGATGGTCGCTTTCGATTGAGTTTCAATACTCCTTCGTCCAGTTGATTTTATTATAGCTTATTTACTTGTACACCATTCTGCTATTATCGCTCCTCTAACTGTTCCGTGGCACAAGGTGCAGAATAATTTACATAGGGAAAAACATGGAACCTCGTAACTACTGTGTACGCGTGTCCTTAACGAGTTTCTTGTGTTGTGTGATAATGAATTTTCCTTGTGTCATAATCGTGTCAGGTAGGGTTCCTCAGCAAAAAAATGATGAACTGGCAGAACGCGTACATGGAGATCGTAATCTTCGATGAGAATCTTGTAGACTGATTGCACCCTGCACCCTCGCACTCGCATACGAATTGATAACTATCGCGTACGTAACGGCCTCTATAGCATTCCCTATCAGCGTTTCGCCATTTCGCGCATTCACGTACTACAAAGTAGTCTCGAGTATTCATAAAATAATCTGCAAAATTATAATCGATTTATTCAGATTAATGCGAACGTTTTGCGTTTTCACTACTTACATATGTACACAGCTTTCCGACAAAATGGTTGTGACGAAGGACATGCTTTCAAATACCTAGCATCCACCATATTGACAGTGCAGTCTTTGTCCTTTTTGCTATTACACTGATAGCATTTGGTAGCAGCTTCTGATTCTTCAACGACAATTCACAAATGAAAATACTATAGTGTCAAAAATAGCTATTCATAAACTCGATTATTCAAAGTCTGTCTCGAGTACAACCTTATTATATTATTATTATTATTATTATTATTATTATTATTATTATTATTTTTATTATTATTATATTAGTAAAACTTATTTCCTGTCTATGTATTTGATGAAATAATATTGTACAATAAAATTGGGCAGAAAGCTTTCGCTTCGCAGTATTACTGGCAGTTAGTACAATCTGGGTTTTATTCGTACTAGATAAAGTACGTTTCCCGTTATCTACGATTGGTAAGCGCATAATTATTGTTTAAACAAGACTTACCTTTTTCAAATACAAACAAAAGCAACAGTACTCGTAACGCGTTTACTTTTATTCGCATTCTTAATTTCTTTTACGATTATATGTACAATCTTTCTCTATCCCTTTAGCCGAAATTGAAATGCGCAATTTATATTAAGATATTTAATTAGCATTTCCTATTTGAATAAGGCCTGAGGAATAACATGAATGAATATTAATAATAGTGATACCGATTGAAAGGTTAACGATCATACCTCAACGAATGGATTATCTAGGAGAATCGAAGCGCATCACGAAATATTCTATAGTACTTTCTACATTTTAAACAATCTGCTAATAATTGATACATGCATCGGATAGGAGTACTCAATCTGATTTAACAACTTTTCACTGATGGAACTCGGAAAATATTCTTTCGACCCGAGCATGACAAAATCGATATAGCTACTTAACTTGTTTCTAAATTTATACTGTCGTTACATTACTGCGTAACAGTGTTACCACATTTTCGACGTACTCGATAAGTTCATTTTATTTCGAAAATTTGTCGTCTCTATACGTGGGTAGCTGTTTGTCGATGAAAATGCATTGATAAATCCTTAAAAGAAATGCATGGAATATTTATCACTTGGAATATAATTGCTCAACATGTGTCAGGGACTCGCGTCGCTAAATGAGTTGAATGCTAATTGTAATGTCTCTGTCCGACGGTAAGAAAAATCGTAGGTACGATTTTCAAATCGAACTTCCTTAATCGATATCACAATAATTTTCATTGATAAAAACGATACAAATCATTAAATACATCTTTTATAATGGAAACGCATATCTTATCTCTCCGAAGTCCTAAGAATTATTACGGAATGTCTATGTAAAAAATGAGGCGAGACATTTTTCTGCAATCGATTCTACTTGTAGAGCTTAAAAAATATGTGGGTCAAAGGAAGAGGTGATGGAACGGCGATAAGAAATCGTCCGCGTTCCTTTCCGTATTGTTCGCGTGCGACTTATTACACGAGCTTCCATGACATTTCATGACGTTCAGTGTGTCACAGGAAAAGGGATATTATCCACTTAGCGTGTTCCAAACCACCACTTTACGCTCTATTTGAACATAAAGCTCCACGCACCGCCCACGGCCTTCCCTATTTAACTTCCAGCCCTGCCTTATCCGTCAAAACAATCATACTTGTCGTCATTCGCCATCAAACATTTACATCATACATAGGAAGCAAACAGTATTTACTCCTCGCGTGCAATCATGATCGAATCCTAATATATTATTAATACATTACAATAGATCATTTTATATAATTTTCAAATGCAAAATTCTGTAATAAAATATGAACGACGAAGACTTGTTCTAGAGCCGTTTTAAAGAAAGTACGCAAAAGTCTTTGGCTCGTGAAATGAGAAGTGAGCATGGTACTAAAAATCAATCTGACGGGCAGCATCCCCCCGCTCGGGGTTGAGCGTGTTCCACCGCCAAAAATATTGATTTCCCGTTGGAGGAGGAGCAGAACCGCGGGAGCGGTTTCCGAAAAGTTTGCGCGCTAGAATCGCGTTTGGGCCTTGGAGACTGCGAGCGTGTGGTATCGTTTTCCAGTACGTCCCGTCTCGTCCCGCCGCTGTTAATGGTAACCCGCGCGCAATCACGTATTCACGGTGGTGTAAGCATATCGTCGCCTTAGCTCTGCGGGCTTGCGCTGCAATCGCGTCGCGTCGACGACGAGCAGTGCTTCAGCAACTGTCGAGGCCGAATGGTTGGCCTCGTCAACCCTTGAATAATATCCATCTCTCTCTCTCTCTCTCTTTCTCTCTATTTCTCTCTCGCTCCTCCTCCTCCTCATCCTTTTCCCCTACGCGTCGGGGTGCATCTACGTTGAATCGGACCGCTGCAAGTCGCGTGCGAACACGGAGTGACCTACGAGAGGAACCGGCACTTTGATCGTTGAATTCGAAGGACAAGTGTCAAGAAGGATTTCAACATGAGACGATTGGTTCTCGGCCTTTGCCTACTGTTCGTTCTCGGTTTTTACGGTAAGCGTCGTCGGGCCCTCCTGGTTCAACGATCGGGGTGGGTTTACGGAGCTATCGATCCTCCGGAGTCCTTCTCTTCGGACCTACTTCCATTATTTCCTTTGTCTCTCTTTTTTACACGAGCTTAAACGACTTCGAATCAGGTCGTTTATTTTTATTGCTGCAACACAGACCCTAGTGCTGTTTTACAACCGCTCGTTAAGTTAATTGTTTTCTAATTACATGGGGACACAGAATGATTTAGTGATTACCCAGGATCCAAGAGTTCGTTATTTTCGTTTATGCATTTACGTATGTACGTATGTACGTAATTCGTCGAATTCAATCGTGACCATTGCGCAAAAAGTGAACCGACCCTCTTCCTCAAGTGTTTAAACGCTGTGTCAGTGGTACAATGATTTAACAATAACGGCTGCGTGCGGTATTCTACATTAAATTGAATAATGAAATCTGTACGCTTCAGGAAGTGTCACCGATTCCGCGATTTAATTTAATGCGAATACACGCGGTGCGTTACCGAGATCAATGATGACCAGGTATGCGCAAAGCTATCTTCCATCGTGCACGAATTCCCACGATCCGAGCTCGTTTATGGAAAATTCTCAAGACTAATAGTTCGTTTTTATTAATATCAACGTCGATAGGCGTCGTCGAGTTCCAGTCTTTTAATTCATTTTCATTATAATACTTTTTACATATAAATATATTACTGTGTTGTTTATTATTCGTTCATGTTTTACATTATGCATACTTAAGGGAATGAATGGAGAAACGAGATCAGAACGCGAAGACAAGTATACGTAAACTTATTATGGGTATGTCTTTCTAGGCCAGATAGCTGCATCGATTTTTATATCACTGGCTCGGAAAGTACAATGAACTCTTCCTTAGACGGTGCACATCATTTTAATACACATCTCTCAATTATCGTTATGGAATGTGGCAATGAAATTAGACAATTGGAAAACAGAAATATCGACCCACATAAAGTTACGCGTAATAATAATCGATCACACAGTTGCAACGATTTGAAGTACACTTAAGAATATTGTTCCATGATCTCGTACTGTTAATCAAAGTATTATTTCCGTTTCACACTGACCTTTCTTATCAATCGGTCGATAGTGGTCATTCGTGTCGCGAGTTATTACAAAAGCGGATATGAATTTCTTCTGCTATCTTGAGAACGCGACAGACATAATAATGCTTAATATTTAACTCCGAGGAATAATTGTAGCAATAATTATGTGCTTGTTCCAGGTATACACGGTTTGCAATGTTATCTTTGCAACAGCCACAACGATAGCCGATGCGCCGACGACCATCCACCCGATGCTCTAAAGAAGGATTGTTCCGACCTCAAGGACGGCGCGAAATACACCATGTGCCGAAAGATTACGCAAGTCATTGAGTTTAGCGTTAACGGACGTAAGTAATACCTACCTGGATTATTTCATCTAAAAAGGGTTATTATCCTTTTTACCACGTTACATCACTTTGTCCCCTTATCTCCCGTAGAATTATCTTTTATCTCCGACAAGTTCAGCACTGTTTTATCCTAGGCGTCAATTTTATACACCGATGATCCAATCGTGAATATTTATTCAAAACAAAAACATAAGAATATTTTTTGAACTCAATTTAAAGATTGCCATGTGTACCTATCTTTTAAGGATGTATAGGCTATACATATACTTAAACAATGCTGGCATGT